TAGTAAGTCTATTCATGATGAAATGTCAAAGCATACTGAGCATCTTTCTCTTTGACACCATGTCTGAAATCCCACGTGATCTGTCAAATACTAATGCATGAAAATCCTAACCTCAAAAAAATCACCCGTTATAAGCATCACTATTTACGCTAATTATTTGTTAGCCAAGGTCCTGCAAATAAAGATAAGAATAGGATTACAATTTGATTCAAGCAGTTTAAAGAAATTATGCACAGTGGGGAGCAAAAATAAGTTTTTGTAGTTTTTTTTTACAATATTCCTAATGTTTAACATCATAAATTTTTTTGTTCATATTTTTAAAAAATTTCAAGCTTTTTAAAAAGCTTATAAAAATTCAACAAGGTATCATCAATATTTAAAATTTTTCATCCGAATTTGTAGGAAATTTTCGGGTATACATTAATTTTAAATGGCTAAAAATTCCCGTTAAATTTTTTTAAAACTGTTGATTATATAGAAAAACGTTATATGACCAGATTAAAGGAAATGTAATTTTTAATTTTTTTAAATTTGTTTGAGCAAAATCGGACTAGTGGTTCTCGAGTTATGTCAAAAAAAGACCACCAAAGGTGACAATTTCCCCTATATGATAGTTATATATATATCTCGATTCCTAGACGTGACCCAGCGAAACGCCGAGACACGTATAACTTGTTTTTTACCGATATAACTTTCCCCGGTAGTTTGAACCCTTCCCGATCACTGACCCCTACCATTTGTCTCACATTGTTATACATATATATAAATTAGGGTGCCTCGCCAAAAAAGTTCAAAATTTTCCATCAAAAATTATAAAATTGATTATACTTTAGGGCTTCCGCCTAAATATTTTGAAAAATTACTAAGACTGACGTGAACAGCTCACGAACCGATTTTAAAATAGCTTCAAAAAACGAATTTTTCATGGATAAAATTACATATTTTTTTTAAATTTTTTTTTCAAAAAAATCACATCAGATGATATAAGAGTTTAAGTGTTAAAGGTATGCACAAAAAATGTTTAAACATTTCATCAACAGAACCAAAATAACGAGATTTTTGCAGCTGTTTTCAAATCGGTCCAGCCTACCTAAATCTTAATATTTTTCGAAAAAACTTGGCTGGAAGCTTAGGATATACTAAGTTTTATAATTCTAAAAACGATACCGGATTGTTTTTTTTTTGTAAGTATGCATAGCTCCATTCTAATGTACATAGTTTAATGTTGTTGCACAATAGAACAATTAAGATAGTTTCTTAGAACGTTCCTAATTCTACGTATTGCAAATAACAAAAAATATTAGCTGGAAAATTATATTTTATTTTTCTAAAGCCGATTTCATTGTGAGTGCAAAAATTTAAACTTTATTTTAAAAATGCTCAACTGAAAAAGTTCGGGTATCTGTGACTAGATAAAATACCCTTTTTTCAGATACTCTAGTTTCCCATTTCAATTCTGACTCAATTAGCAACAAAGTTAGGAAACTCTCATTTAACAAAAAACAATAAAGTGCCTAAAACTCATCTGACTTTGTCAAAACCATAAAATTAATTACATTCATTGGCACAAAAGTTCAAATATTTGCAATACACAAGCCCATTTGCAGTGATAGCCGTCATTAAGAACTCTGCGCCCGCAATCACTTCGACACAGCAACCGATGGGTCGACAAACATCGGCTCTTCCCCGCCACCGTCGCTACTTTACCCATCAATCACAAACTGTGTTTGGTGAGACAGCATTAAGTTCATTGATAAGCGGCTAAGTATGCACTTTAACCCCGAATTTACGGCACTGAGCTCAAACATATGTATGTATGTATGTGCATTAGACTGCATCACCAAGAAATGTTGCGGTTTTTCCGCCAAGATTACAAAACTTATTATATTTATTTGAAGACTTCCACCTAAATAATTCGGAAAAAAATTAAGATTTACGTGAGCTGGGCCGTTTTGAACATACCTCAAAATATGGAGTTTTTTTATGAATAAAAATAGATTCTTAAATGATTTTTTGAAAAAAATCCCCTCAGAAGAAAAAGCAGTTTAAGCTTAAAAAATTTGCATAAATATAATAAAAAAAATTCAAAGGAATCTTAATATGTATGTAATAAGATTTTTTATGCTGTTGTTTAACTTTATTTTTTGATTTGTGATTTGAGAAAAACTTGAATAACTGGAAAGGTATTTTTTCACCCTTATATATTTTTTCAAATATCAACACATCTTACCTTTTTCTTTTATACCTTGAATGAGTTTATTTGCAAAGAAATAAAGAGAGTGAGAAAATACCTTTCCAACGATACCTCCTAAGTCTAAATCGGTAAAGTTTTGGCTGAGTTATTAATTTTTTTTTACCAATCTATGAAAGAAGTTCAAAAACAATATCAAAAGTCTCATTATTATAATTCCGTTGAAAATTTTTTATAATATTTGTATGCATATTTTTTAAGCTAAACTGTTTTTTCATCTGAGGTGATTAAAAAAAAACTACTTAAAAAACTTTTTTTTATCCATAAAAACAACATTTTTGGAGATATTTTCAAATCGGGTCAGCTCACGTAAATCCTAATTTTTTTTCGAATTTTGGCGCAAGTTATAAAATATAATAGATTTTATAATTTCAATGAAAAGATAGTACCGTTCTTTTTTTGTATGGGGGGTGATACAGTCTAATATACATACAATAATAGTACTTAGGTATGTACATATGTACATACATACGCCATGTGTACACGTATGTGTATTAGCCACGTCATCTAGTTACTGACAATAACAAATATTTTACGAAAATAACAACAACCACTTAGGCACATGATGGTGTAGTACTTTCACCCGCGTTGCTTAGGAAAGCGATTTGGTAAATACATAAATAAACAGCTAGCAGCTAAGTAACAAACTACAACTACATGCATAGCAAAAAGTTGAGAACTGAAACCACCCGCTAAATCTACCAGTAAACAAAAACTTACTTAGTCAGCAGTAATCACCCTTGCAGCATATTCCCGCTTGCAGACTCAGTGGGCAAGTAAGCAAAACTATAAACTTCCGGTTGTGCGCGTCACCAGACGCTGACAAATATACATTTCTTCTGGTTGACAGCTGCTACATAGTTGCTAGCTGTGAGCTAAGGCAAATTTCAAGTTCGCGTGCTGGCTGCTATTACAACTTTTTGGCATCCATGGCTTAAATCACCCACTCCTGAAATACCGAGCGCAGTAGCATAATCAATGTTGCAAGGAAATATTACGCGCATTTGTTTGTTGTGAAATATGTACAAGTTTTTGTTCTTTTTTTTCATTTTAGTTGTGAGTAATTATTCTATGCTCAAATGTTCAGTTAATAAAAAAGTAATTGTTATAAATTAAATAAAGACAAATATTCTGTATCTATATCATATGGGTAACGAACTTCAATCCGTCTGCTCTGACCACACCAACCTGTGGAAAAATCTAGCGATCTCATTACAAAACGAGGTTTGTCCTTTAGCGACAGACACAACGGACATAAATACTCTCAAATATTAACCAACTGTTTTTTTACAGTAAGAATTAAAAAAAAAAAGAAATACTGATTATTCATTTATGTCTTTAGTTTATAACAGAAAAATAGGAGGCACAGTTTTGCAGACCTTCACATAAGCTACAGTTCCAAAACTACGGAAAAAATCCCCAAGAAATAAGCACGAATAATTCCAAAGAAACCCAGTATGTCCGAAAAAGTAGTGAACGGCCCCAGGAATGTTTTAAGAAACTCGTGAAAAGTCTTGAAAGAAATCCGAAAAATCATGCACTATTTCGGAGGGCTTACATACATATATGCAATACCCTCTTTTTGCAAATTTCACAAAACTTATTTTCTGAAGTTAGAACTCTACTGGAACTTAACTGTCAACACAGATGTTAGTTTCAACTTATGCGTTATTGTATTGTAGACGGTATTGCAAAGAAGCCGTCGATATGTAACTACTTAGATTAATACACAAGTTCATTATTTATACCCACATATGTACAAGAGCAAAATATCTACATAGGTATATCGTACTTTGATTTAATTGGAGATTTTTCAACTTCGGTGATCCTTAGTCCAATTGCCCGCATACAAAACCCTACAGTTGCCATTTTATTGAACTAACATGGAACTTCTTCCAAAAAAGGGCCAGAAAACCCCTTTACAGTTGCAGTTAAGGGGATAATATATTCTCCGAAAAAAAAAAATTGATTATATTTGAAGTGAATTCTTTTGGGATTTGACCACCACAAATGCATACTAAAGTTTGACGAGGAAAACACAATTTAAATTTTGGGCGAAACTTTGCCTTTGTGTTTGCTTCAAAAAAATTTAAAAAAATTCATAAGAAAATCATATTCATAAAAGCAGTACGACCATTTTTTCACATTTTTTTTTTTTTTGCCAAACGCAGAGGTTGCCTTTTTACATTTAAAAATTATGATAAATCGATGTCCTTGTCCAGAGTAATTTTTTTTTTTGTTCGAAAATTCCCACCAGATCTAAGTTCCTAGCCCCCTTATGTCAGTAAAGCTCGCCCAAAAATTTTTAAATTTTGGCAAGGAAGTATTCCATTCGAAGGCAAATTCGATTTTTTTTTGCCGAATCTAGGACTTGCCGTTTGAAATTTTTCGTCATATCTTCGGCATTTACAGTAGGATCTTAAATTATGATATAACGATGTTTTTTACTCAGGGAGATTTTTTTTTTTATTTTAAGTTTCATTGCCTTCAAGTACCCCCTTTTGGTACTTACACAGCAGATCTCAGTTCTTTTCCTTTTTGTGGCGATTTTTTTTTTGCTGTAAGGTGGTACGGTCTAATGCATTTAGTATAGAAAGCTTGAAAGAGCTTTGCCCGCGAGCAAGTTGATGCCCACCACCGGTCTAATGTATATTTGTCATAGTTTGGTTAATTATGAAGGATTTATAGCCGAAGATCAACTACACAAGCTCCAATAAAAAGAAAATCATCAAAAATCCGTGTACATTTATTAAAATAATTTCACTAAATTTGTTACTTAAGTAATATTTCACACAAGTATAAATTTTTGTAGTTTTTATATAACAGTTGATTAACGACACAGCCAATGCTAGTCCAAGTATTCTAGTCTACAAGTATTAAATGCAAATTATGTTTGGTTTATTATAAAACATGTACTGAGTAGTAAAAGCATAAGGATTGATAATTCCCACAGATCTGTACATCACCTCGGCCTTTCACGAGTATTCTATCTATTTCAATCCACCAGTCACTTCAATCGCTGCACCGTTTACATAAGAGGACTTTTCGCAAGCAAGAAATGCAATCACATCAGCAACTTCCTCTGGACGCCCTAAACGGCCCATGGGACATCTTCGAAAAATTTCTTCCTTAATCTGCTCCGGTATTACATCCACCATCGGCGTGTCGATGAAACCCGGCAATATCGAATTTACACGTATGCCAAACTTGCCGAATTCCTTCGCCGCAATTTCAGTCAATGAGATCACACCCGCTTTGGTAGCAGCATAATTAGCCTGTCCCGGATTACTAATGCGTGCCACAATGCTGGATATGTTTATAATGCTGCCATTGCGCACATGGTGCTCGATCATGGCACGCGCAAATTGCTGTGTCATCAAGAAGGTGCCCTTTAAATTCACCTTGTACACATCATCGTAGTCTTTTTCTGTCAATTTGAGTAAGTAACCGTCGCGTGTAATGCCCGCCGCATTGACGACAATTGAAGGTGGTTGCTTGAAATGCTCAATGGATGAAGTGACACCTTTGCTGACGCTCTCCAGCGAAGACACATCCAATTCCAATGCAAAAGCACGATCTGTGTCGATTACAATTTAAAAATAAATAGAAGACACATGCGGAACTTGCTCAATGGTAGCATATTTTAAGGCTCACCATTTCCGATGTCTTTTACTGTTTGTTCAGCTGCCCGCAAGTTGCGATCAGCTGCGATCACTTTAGCACCGTCGCGTGCGAGTATCCGGCAGGTGGCGCGCCCAATGCCAGAGCCGGCGCCTATGGTGTGTAGACAGCATGCGAATTGAGTGTGTAGCAATAAACAATGGCGAACGCATGTGCCAGCACATAAATAGTGGAATAAACAAATATGCAAAAGGAAATCGAAAAGTAACATACATAAATATTGAAAACAAATTGTATTTATGTATGTATCAATCACCTGTGACAATGGCCAATTTCCCCAGCAATACCATTTTGTATTTTCTTTTGCGATTACTTAACAATCCGCAGCTGATTGGAAAAGTAAACAGCTACAAAGATGAAAATCACGCTTCGTTCTTGGATAATAATATTTAGCTATGGCACACGCAAGTAAATGCAACGCGAGTGCCTTTTTCGAAAATGCTATATAGGTATATATGTATGTATGTACTTATATGTACTCGTATATAAATTAATGGTATACACACTTTGCCAAAAAATTAAACAATAAAAAATGAGCGATCCACAACAACAACACTTAAGTTCAGTTTATCGCCCAACAAACAAAAAACGTAAACGACTACCCGTGTTAATGAGTGCAAAGCTCAAAAACCAAACACAAAACAAAGAAGTAAAATTGACGAAGAACAACTGGCAGCTACTGACTAAATCAGTGGGAGTTAAGTTTGCGACTGCAAGACCAAGTGTCATGGGGAAAACAGCTGACCGTTTACGTTCGCCATATTCAGAGATAAGCGGTGGAAAAAGCTTTACGCAATACTCTTACCAGAGACCTTATATTAGCTCTCTGCATACACTGATAAGATGCTAGCTTTCTTGAAAATGTTATGCTATGATCACTGTCTGAAGCGCCTACAATTATGCAATGCCTTCTTCATATGTACTGTTCAGCGAATGGCTTAAAATTGAACACCCTGCTGGAAAAAATTTCGACTAAGTAGGTACAATAATGATTTTCTGTCTAAGTACTTCAATGCGATAACTACTTAAACGATTTCTTTCTTTCCAAATCAAGAGCATACATAAGAGCTGAATATAAATTCTAAAATTTAAAAGATCTCCTCTATATGTGGTCCCTACATACATTGGTCAAAAGGAGTCATATGTAGAGCACCGAAAAAAATGCTTGCAAAGAAATTTTATATTGTGCATGCATTTTTAAATGTAAATATGTGTATGTACTAGGGTGCATCACTCTTTGATACAATTCAGTCGCCGCTTTTTTTTCAGCGTAAATTTAAAATATATTAAATTTTATTATTATATTTTAATACTGCCTCCAAAATAGTTTGGAAAAATATTTAGATTAGCGTGACCAGGGCCAATTTGGAAAAATCTCCAAAAGGCGGAGATTTTTAAAAATAAAATTAGTATTAAAAAATATTTTTTCCAAAAAAACACCTCTGATGATGGAAGAGTTTAACCTTAAAAGGTCTGCATAAAAATGTTTAAAAATTACAAGCCGGAATCAAAATATGTAATGAGATTTTTGGCCCTATTTTCAAATCAGCCCAGCTCACGTAAATCTTATAATTTTTCCGAAATGTGTTTGCGAAATTCTTAAATTTTATAATTCCGGTGAAAACATCGCAACTTTTTTTGGAAAGGCACCCTACTGTGCATAAAATCTAATCAATTCTATAAAAACGTACATAGGTACATTAGGGTGGTCCAATATAAGTACAGTCGGAATTTGAGGTCTCACTTTTTGTTGAAATGTTGTAGAATTTTTGAAAATCATTATTTTTCGATCGGAAAACTCTGGTTCTCTTCCTATCGAAAAATAGTGATTTTCAAGAACTCTATACCATTTCTACGAAAAGTTGTTTTTCCCCATATAAAATGCATGCAAAACTTTGAGCGCTTTGACCGACCCCTAAATATTTTTTTGATTTAAAAATAAAAAATTAGGAGTATATGTTTTCCGGCATAGAACAATCCTTGAGCGCGGAGCAGCAAAAAAATTCTGACTTTACTGTTTCATATGCGGTAGTGGTCAAAACATATCGAACCGAAACGAATATTTTAAAAAAGCTGGCCAATATCAGTGTTTGAGGTAAAAACTTTGTGTTCTTTTGGTTAAGTTTAATGTCTTCTGCGTTTCCTTTAATCCCAAGCGGGACATATTGCATCTACTACGCCGACGCGGTGATCGCTTTAAGCTCCTTCGAGCTTAGACCGAGCTACTTCGTCTTTCGATCGACTATTCTTATCCACGTCTGCCGGAAAAAATGCTTCTGCCAATTAGGGGATTCCGTCCAAAGGTCTTCTTTACGCAAAATGTGCCTAATCTACTTCCATTTCTGTCTTCGAATCCAGATGTCACGGAGCTTCATGTTGGCCTTTCTGAGCAACTCCTCATTTGAGTTTGTTTCAGGCCAAACAATTTGAAGTATCATTCGGATACATGTTTTAACGAAAACTTGTGGCTCCTGGTTATTGCAGTAGTAAATTGCCGGGTGGAATTGCCATCAGTAATATCGAGAGGATACTGGCTTTGAAAACTTTATCCTTAAGCTGGATTTCAGATTGTTAATTCGCTATAATATCTAGCAGAAAAAAAGTTCGCCGTGCACTCCTGGGTCTAAAATATTTTCGTAAGGCAATTTAAAAAAATTTGTTTGCGCAAAGTCACGACGGGATCGCTTTTTTGCATTCTCGTCATATGAACTAACAGATCTTAAAGATATATCGAAGTTCTTGTCTGGAAGAAAACAGTTTTTTTTGTTCCAAATTTAATTGACCTCAAGAACCTCTTATAGTCCTCAGTTGTTATTACTCTAACGAACCACCGTAATGCCAGTAAATTAAAGCTCTGCAAATATCATTCACCTTTTCGGTAGGTCGAGTTGAACGCAGCCTAGGCGCGCGACAGTCAAGTCTACAGAAATTTCATTAAAAACAATAACACAGGTATACAAACAAACAAAAAGTTTCTGCATACTGAACCAAACCTCTATACCCCTATGTTATTCGACGCCCTGAATGCGAATCCGAGGTCTGTTAGCCTCCATCACGTCACGTTCGAGGTCATTTGAAGGTCAAGTAGGGAAAAATTCGCATTCCGCGCGTCGAATAACATAGGGGTATGGAGGTTTGGTTCAATATGAAGTAACTTTTTTGAAGTGAAACTTCTTTAGCGGCGGTTGGTTGGTGGGGAGAAAATGGCAAATTCAACGGAAATTGCACACGGAAATGGTGCAACGGAAATATGCAACGGAAATGGTGCAACGGAAATGGTTGGGCCTGAAACAAGTGCTTCTTATGTGTATGCATATGCTATTAATTTAACTAAAATTTGCTGATAAAAGGTTAAAGAATAACACTTAGAAAAAGGCCAAAACAAGAATGAAAGTAAGTACATAGATAAAGAAAAGGATAAATTCAAAGGCAAAAATAAAGACAAAAACAAAGATGCGTAAAGATAAAGGCAAAAATGAAGGCCAAGGTAAATTTAAACACTTTACTTATATATATAAGGGCAAAGGTGAAGGGGAATATGTATGTAGATGAAGAAAATGATAAACATAAAAGTAAAGACAAAGAGGAAGATGGGGATACCGATAAAAGTAAAGATGAAGATGGTTAAAGAAAGATTAAAATAAAGGTAATTTAAGAGGAAAGGATATAGAGAGAGACACAGAGACTCAATATGGGAATTATTTTGGGATTTTAGAAATTTTCGGAATTCTCGGGGCTTATCGACTTTTTATCGGTTTTGTTATCGACATTTTTATCCATTTGTTATCGATTTTGCAATCGATATTTTTAACTATTTTGTTAGCGATATTTTTATCGATTTTGTTAGCGATTATTTTATCGATTTTGTTGTCGATATTTTTACAGATTTTTTATCGGTTTCGTTATCGATATTTATCGATTTTGTTATCGATATTTTTCGATTTTGTTATCGATATTTATTGATTTTGTTATCGATTTTTTATCGATATTTATCGATTTTGTTATCGATATTTATCGATTTTGCTATCGATATTTATCGATTTTGTTATCGATATTTATCGATTTTGTTATGGATATTTTATCGATTTTGTTATCGATATTTTTATAATGAAAAACCGAATAACATAAATGAGTCAAACCACGCCAACTGTGTCAATGAATTTCCATTGATTTTCTGGAAAGTGAAGACAATTGTGGGAATATGTAGATAATTATAGAATACACTTTGGACGGTTTTTCGAAATTGCACTTCGTTTGAATAATTATACAAGTACGTACATTATTTAACGTATAAATGCTATCACTCACACAAGCTTAAATGAAAATAGCTATTTACTCAACGCTTAAAGGTGACAAAAAAATCGATAGCGACTGTCAAAATTGGAAAGACCATTTTTTTCTTTTTGGAACTTAAAAATTAATAAATAAAATAAAAAAACTTATTAAAGAATTAATTGTTTTGCAAATTTTATTCTGCAAATCTTTCTATTGTAAAAGGAAAAGCTTCAGCAACTCTCGAAATAAATTTCATCAAATGGGTCGCGAGTTACGAATTTTTATTTCAAAAACTGCAATATTCTTATAATACCAAAAAAACAAAAACTAAGCGCAATTTCGAAAAACCGTCCAAAGTGTATTTTTGTTCTATAATTTTCTACAGATTCCCACAATTGTCTTCACTTTCCAGAAAACCAATGGAAATTCATTAACACAGTTGGCGTGGTTTGACTCAAACGTAATTAAAACGAACAGAGGTAGAAGTAGGGATCTAGATAGAAAAAAGAGAAAAATATAACCTTAAGCAAAATCAGATGTATGTATGCATGTATATTGGTTATGACACAAAATAGATATGTATGTAACGTAAGTTTCACTTCTCCAGTGTGGCCAAGGCGCACTTACTTTTTTTTTTTGTAAACCTGTGTAATTAACTCTTTAGTTATTATATTTTAAAACTTTATTTAACATGACCCTTTAACATTTCACAGCTTCTCACCAACAGTCCCATTTAACCAAAAGTATGCACAACTCTCTTAAAATAACGCGTTGGCTTCTTAATCAGCTGGCGACGTATGACGCGTTGTATTTTGCGCCAAGGGCGCTTTTTCGAGCGTTCATCATCATCTTCATCAACCACGTCGTTAGCATTTCCATTATATAGCTCAATAATGGATGGAGAGGCGTCTGCACTCTCAACTAACTGTAATTTGCCGCTTTCAATGAGCTGTAGCGTTTCTGATTTGCTTAGCTCAACAAGTTTATAACCATTTTGGGCATGTGCTTCGTGCGCAACTGCATCTGCAATGTTGTCTTCATTCTCATCCTCATCCATATCTTCATCTACTTCTTCCTCTGAAATCCGTTGTGCAGCATCATTCTGCGGTGGCTTTGTCAGACGCAGCATTACAACTGGTTTTTGAAAAGTTTCTAGCTCGGTCGAAGAACACTTTGGTTTGAGATTTGCATCCTTCACGAAGGCAATGCGGGAAATGGTGGCCGATTCTAGTTGAATGGTGTGTATGTATTATTTTCAATGTAGATGATTTAGTTGATTTTCGTTACGTACCTCCGAGTTCCAAATAGAGTAGAAAAATTATATAGAAGAAAATCAGACCGAAATTTCGTGCGTGCATGATTGCGGTTGAAATGTTTTGAGTTGAGTTTGCAAAGTTAAAAATCCGCTACTTGCTTCGTGCTCTTTTCGACTTTAATAATCACGTTCGTATAAAAGTTTTTTGAATGGCTTGCAGAAATTTATAGAATTTTTATAAGTATGAACCTACTTACATATGTAGATGAAATTCGTTTGGTTTTTCTTGCAAATCATCTTACTTACTTGCGGGCAATTCAAGTACTCGATAGGCCACTTGTCATGGTGCTGAACTACTTCCAAATATATTCACTTATGTAATGTAAATATGTATGTGCATATGTATGTATGTATAAGTGTTGATTCCCAGTACGGCATAGCTAAACCAATAACCTCAGAAAAAGTAATTTATTTCTGCTTATGTAGCAACTAATTTCAAATTAATGTATGATTACGTAGCAGCCTCTTTGAGATAAAACAAATGCTTACACTTTTGATACCTTTGCAAATACATAATTCAATATTAGTTGAAAAATCATCTAACTTTGGGCAATTAATGAATGCAACATTTAATACTAAGTAATTTTAAGTTGATTTGAAAGACAACTGCAAAAGAAACATACTGACTTTGAATTGCTTTAAGCCAAATATAGTTTAAAGTAGTTGAAATCAAATGCAGAGTCGGACAATTGACTTGCTGCTTGCACGCAACTCAAAACTGAACATTTGACAGCACATTTACATGTCTGTAGCTGAGCGTGCAGAGATGCCAGCTGTTACTTGTTAGCTTCCAGAATGTCCGGGCTCGAATCCCAACAGAGGCAACATGTGAAAATGATAATACATTTTGTGTCCGTGTGTATTTGGAAATATGAAAAAGCATCTGTGAAGTACAGAACGAAAGCGAATTCAAACGAAACCTACTGACTTTGAACTGCTTTAGACCAAATGCATTTTAAAGTAGTTGAAATCAAATACAGGGTCGGATAATTAACTACTTCCTAGTTCCTAAGTTCCTAAATAGTTCGTTCCAAGGAAGAAAATCAGATCTTCAATTTATTGCAGTGGGTAAAAAACTGGTTGAACATCAATATTTAATCTAGTTTCTTTCCGTACTGGGTTTGTATAGCGTATGTATGTATGTATGTATATCGAAATACACGCTTTCGCACTTTTATAGCTTTCCGAAAGCAGCCACTACATTTAACTGTTATTTTACATTGTAGGCTGGAGTTTTGGAAGGTTTAAAGAATTAAATTAGATCAATTGCTTATCAACTCAAGATTTTTGATACATGCCATAAGTGTTCGTAGTATACGAGGGTATTTACAACCATGTATATATGTACATTGTATCTATACATTAGTATGTATGGTCGGTTGACCTAATTAAATACGTGCGTACTGCTATTAAGGCTATTTATGCATGCACATACGTACATATATACGAAATTCATTTATTTGCTGGGGTGCTTGTCTAAACTTGCATAATAACCTTTTATTTTAAAAGCAAAATTTCGAATGCAGGAATACTTTTGTTTTTCAATAAAAGAGAGATTTCCAAAAGTTTTTTTAGGATTTTAGGACCTAAAAACTTGAAACTTTTGGGCAGCACTATCATTCGATTAACGCAAAGAAAACCCTTAAATGTACTGGATGTGCGCTCTTCGCGAGTTGATAAGAGTTGTGCCCAAGTGCCCGGAGTGTGTGAAGGGGTATACATACTTTATTTTTTGGGGAAAACGAGAACTACAATAAACAGTGTTGCCGCGCCGTCTCAAGAAAATGTATCCCTGACCAAGCCAAAAATGTATCCAAATGTATCCAATTTTCTTTTTCTACATATACATCTCATAATTTGTAAGAAAACCAAAAATTTTCTTGAAAAAGACATAATTTAACCCATCCTAAGGACCTGGAATACATGTGCATAAAATCAAACATTTGTAATTTCAATTTATAAAGTACATTTTTTGTGCATAAGTATTTTGCAAAGTAAATATAATAAATAGCAAGTACACTCTAAAAAGAGCATGTAAAACTACTATTGAAAAGTATCTATTTTTCAACAAGAATCTGTATAAATATACGTATAGGATGTTCAGTATTTGATTTTGAACCTGAGATCTTTAAAATATACACATACATATATAGAATGTATAAAATTGCAAAAATTTTCAAACTACAAATACATTTCCTAATAATAATAAACATTACTTTATTTTAAACATTTTATGTGTAATTTTGCTCTTGCGACAAATTCGTTATGTAAAAGTAAACAGGCAATGATTAATTTTATTACACGGCGTGCAAATTTGCACACATTAAAAGAGGAAACTGGTTACCTCTCTCAATATGCGCAAATAAACAAAATTACAAAATTACCGTAACTGACATTTGCTGCCAAAAATTGGATTTGCTCACACAAGCTCTTGACTCAATCCTTATCCATTCGTCCTGAAATATTCTAGCCAGAAATGCGATTGCTTTATAAAAAAGAGAACCATTTTGAAATATAAGTGTTTTTACTCCCTAGAAAATAATTTATGCACCGTCACATACGCGGTTTTGCATTATCTTGATACGCGGTTTTGCATGTTGTTGATTCGCGGTTTTGTACTTTAAACGACGATATATATATTAAGATCTTGCTTAAAGCATCCTTTTAAGCTAATTAAAGCAATTGCGCTTATACCTATTTTGGTGAGATCTCTTCATATGTTCATTGCTTCGTTCACAAAAAATAAAATGCTTTAATTTCACGCGTAAGTAGCGATTCTTTATACGTTTAGAAAACGTAATGCTTTCTACCATCTTTAATGAAAATCGATTTTTGAACGAAAAAAACTTTATAGGAAATATAAAATTTTGGCCTATTTAAAAAAGTATCCATATTTATACTGGCGGGAAAAAATAAGTATCCCGCAAAAATTCGTCTAAAAATGTATCCAATTGGATCTCTTTAGATCCAAACGGCATCCCTGACAATAAATATTACTTTTCTGTCCACGATAAGAAATATAAATCCCTTTAATTTTATATATGTATGTACATATACCTACGGTGACCATCCGTCCTGTATTATACGGGACAGTCCGCTTTTTTGACCAATTGTATTGTCAATTAATTTATTTAATACGGGCGCCAAACGTTCTGTATTTCTTTTAATGTCCTGTATTTATCCCGTATTCAGGCTTCGGTATTTCGACGCCTTGAAAGCTCATTAAAATGGCATGCCTATGAACCAGTGTGAATGCCTGTGCTTCGAATCGAGGAACACTTACAGTGACCAAAAAAAAATTAAGATTCTACATTTTAATAAGGTTTTTCTTTTGTTTATTTAATGTTTATTATTTTTTTTAAGAAGAGCTCTTTTCCTAACAAAAACCATATAAGTTGAAATTTCCGACTTTGTGCAAAAAAAAATTTTTAACCAAAATTTCAAACTTTTTAATCAGAACCTTTAGAATTTTTTTTTTTTTTTAGTTTTGTAGCTCATTAAAATTTGGTATAATTAAGTGTAAGTGCAACGTGCTCCTCATTTGCTTCCCTATCAACAAATTGTCAAACATACTAACTTTGTATAAAAAAATTCGGAGCACTGTCGACAAAAAAAATTGCCAAAAATTAACGGTACGTCCTAGCTACTTAAAACTTGCACTTTATCGTACTAAAATTTATCGGAACTTTAGTAAAAAATTTTGTGGAGAAAAAATCTCCAGAAAAATCTAAGATCATTTATGAAGGTCTTAAGATCTGTTCGCTTTTATGGAAAAAACTAGTAAAATTATTTTTTTATCCCGTATTCGGCTCGCATAAATATGGTCACCGTACATATACCCTTGTGTTCAGCAAGTTTTGGCTACTTTCCTTTTATCTATTTAATGTTTATAATTTTTCTTTTTTATAAAAGTATAGCAAAGTACATAACCAGCAAAAAATAAATCCACATTTCAAACGTTGTACAAAATTTATAAAAATTAAACATACTTTAACAATTACACCCAAAAATTTTAAAATTTTTATTAAAATTTTTTAGAAAATTTTTAGAATTTTTATAATTTTTGTATTAAGTTTGTAATGTGGATTTTTGTGGTGCTGTTTATCGAATTAGACTTTTATAAAAAAATTATAAATATTAAATAAAAAAAAGTCAAAACTGGTCACAATTGTCGCTGACCACAGGGGTGCAAAAAATGCGATTTTTTGACATTTTGACCTTGTTTTTCTCAAAATCAGGAGCTGATGGAAACTCTATATTTACGGATTCGTAATCAGCACAAAACAAAAGTTCTACCAAAAACCGATTAACATTTGCCGCAACAAATTGTTTCCAGATTTTTGTTGGCCTAGTTTATATATCGCACACAATCTTCAGAAGGTGACACAACTCAAAATTACACGTTCGTCAGAAAATGCGAAAAACTAATTCGTAGCACATGCTAATCGTATGGGCGAGGAAGACTTTACCTTCGGCTTTTTCAACAAAATATAAAAAAAATTTGCTCCAGCTTTTGCTGAAAGGTAAATAAGAGCTCTGTGTACATTTTTTTAATTGTGTCTCTTTTAAAGACGCTGTACGATATATCCTACAAAAATGGCATTTACAAAAATGTTAAATAAACTAATTTTTTTAAATCACCTAATTAGTTTTATTTGAAAACTCTATAACTAAAACAGAAATGAATTCAGCTCTCAAATAAATTGTCTTAAGACCTCGCTGTACCCAAAACCAAATGAACCCTCTTCTCCGACGTGTATTTGAAACAATTTGTTTGAAAAATAAAACTTTTCCAAGCAAAAGTCTTCAACCAGAAAAAAGTCTTCAACGTGCAAAATAGTTGCCGGTGCAAGGATTGCCCGGTAGAACCGGTATTCCTATGGGAAAACTTCCCTAGGTCCTAAACTTCTCCCATCTTCTGGATGATCGTCACATGGCCTGGGCGATAAATTCGTTTAAACCATTAAAGTACCTGTGCAGCTGCAAAGGGATCTGAAGGTGTCGTGCAATTGGTTGGATCCTAGTTATGCGAACTGCGTGAGG